TGCATCCTAAGGATGTGTGTGTGTGTGTGTGTGTGTGTGTGTACTTTATATGTAGAGAACACATACATACCGACACTGTTGGAGTCTCTCCAGCGTGGCGGCTCAGACACGGGTTTCCGTGGCTCAAGTACACGGTCACTGGTAGCACGGATAAAGTACACGGTCACTGGTAGCACGGATAAAGTACACGGTCACTGATAGCACGGATAAAGTACACGGTCACTGGTAGCACGGATAAAGTACACGGTCACTGATAGCACGGATAAAGTACACGGTCACTGGTAGCACGGATAAAGTACACGGTCACTGGTAGCACGGATAAAGTACACGGTCACTGATAGCACTGATAAAGTACACGGTCACTGGTAGCACGGATAAAGTACACGGTCACTGGTAGCACGGATAAAGTACACGGTCACTGGTAGCACGGATAAAGTACACGGTCACTGATAGCACGGATAAAGTACACGGTCACTGGTAGCACGGATAAAGTACACGGTCACTGATAGCACGGATAAAGTACACGGTCACTGGTAGCACGGATAAAGTACACGGTCACTGGTATCACAGGATAAAGTACACGGTCACTCGTATCACAGGATAAAGTACACGGTCACTCGTATCACAGGATAAAGTACACGGTCACTGGTATCACAGGATAAAGTACACGGTCACTGGTAGCACGGATAAAGTACACGGTCACTGGTAGCACGGATAAAGTACACGGTCACTGGTATCACAGGATAAAGTACACGGTCACTGGTATCACAGGATAAAGTACACGGTCACTGGTATCACAGGATAAAGTACACGGTCACTGGTATCACAGGATAAAGTACACGGTCACTCGTATCACAGGATAAAGTACACGGTCACTCGTATCACAGGATAAAGTACTAGCAGTAAACGATCACGGACGACACGCATTACCCCACCACGCACACGGACGCCTCTGGCGGGGCACTGAGGGCAACACGCGGGTGCAGGTGACGTCCACATGTCGTCCCTCACGCCAAGACGAGCGCTGATTGGCTAGGGGGGCAACCGAGCGGGCTGCCCTAGCCTCCTGATTGGCTCAAAACTGCCCTTGTTGAGAGAGCCTGTAAGTTTCCTGCCGTTAGGTCGCTCCACCTATCAAACCCAATAATTTTAAATGCTAGAACAATTAGTCGATTCTTATTGGTTGATTTGTATTCCATGGGCCCCTACAAGCGTCTTGCCGGACACTGAAGTAGTATATGGCGCCAAATTTTAAGGAATTATTAATTAATAATAATAATAATAGATTCAGTAGTTTGCGAAGAATTGTGGACTTATATACTGTACATTGTACATTAATAATATATTTGATAAGTATATGAGTGCGTAATTGAGTAAAATATGGATCTTGACAGGTGAATTAACCAGCCATTTTGACGGCGGTTATATCCTAATGTATATATATGTATTCGAGCTGTTATCAGACGTCTGATTAAAATCACTGTTTTACCAAGACAATGAAATGTTTTAACATTTTAAATTACATCGGGCAAAAAGCATGAATTAAATTCGTCGACTTTGGAATTAATGTTTGACTCATTATCGTGGTTGACTCACTGATGTGGATAATGTTGACTCATTGACAGGTGGATAACGTGGTACTTTTGAACTCTAAATACAGTTGTATGATGCAATATATATCAAATAATTTAAGCTTTAAATGCAAGTAATAGTTGGGAATTTTTATTTATTTATATATTAGGCTTCAATATTTAAAAATTACTATTCTTTTCTCATCAAAATCATGACTTGAGATATAATATTTAGATCGGTTCTGATCTAAATATTGACAAAAAACTATATATAGTTTCCAGTTAAGCCTAATAATGACACTGCGGGATTACGGGGGCTCAGCTTAAGCTGTTGGGCTAGAGAGAAGCTTTGTTTTGCCTTCCGTTTAAGTACAGTCTTACAGGAAGTAAGATATTGTAAGAGTGTGTGTGTGTGTGTGTGTGTGTGTGTGTGTGTGTGTGTGTGTGTGTGTGTGTGTGTGTGTACGTGTGTGTGTGTGTGTGCATTTACTATTTGTATCTCCACGATTGAGCTTTTGTTAACTCTTGGACCCCTCTCTCTCTCTCTCTCTCTCTCTCTCTCTCTCGATCTCTCTCTCTCTCCTCTCTCTCTCTCTCTCTCTCTCTCTCTCTCTCTCTCTCTCTCTCTCTTCTCTCTCTCTCTCTCTCTCTCTCCTCTCTCTCTCTCTCCCCTCGTCTCTGTCTCTCTGTCCTCTCTCTCTCTCTCTCTCTCTCTCTCTCCTCTCTCTCTCTCTTCTCCTCTCTCTCTCTCTCTCTCTCCGCTCTCTCTCTCTCTCCCTCTCTCTCTCTCTCTCTCTCTCTCTCTCTCTCTCCTCTCTCTCTCTCTTCTCTCTCTCTCTCTCTCTCTCTCTCTCTCTCTCTCTCTCTCTCTCTCTATCTCTCTCTCTCCTCTCTCCTCCTCTCTCTCTCTCTCTCTCCCTCCTCTCTCTCTCTCTCTCTCCCACGTCACTTCTGCCCCTCCATCTTCACTCGCTCAAAAACCTCCATCAAAGAATCAAACTTCAGCATCTGTGTACGAAAAATCTCTTCCTCCGTTCCTCCACTACCCATCCCACCCTCCCCCACCTTTCCATTCAACCCTCCCGTAGTCTCCCTTCCCGCTTTCCCCCTCACCAGCCCCATCCCACCCTCCCCACCATTCCTCCCTGATGGTGTCGCGGTAGCTAGCAAGACAAACAGCTGAGAAATGAGATTAGCTTTTCCCTGTGACGGGTCTCTGAGAGTGTTGTGTGTATGTTTGGAGGGAGCGCAATGTGTGTGTGTTTGTGCGGGGGGGTTACCTGCTTCCCTATCAGTGCTTGTCTATCAATGACTATGGGGGGAAGTCTCAGGGCTTCCTCCTACCGTTCTTGTTGTCCCTTTTCCGTTGTGGTTGAACTATTCTCACGGTCCAGTTCTTTGTCGTGTCATCTGGTTTTGAAGTTGGGGATGGAGGTGGCTTCTACTGCTTCTTATTTTAGAACGCGTGTTAGGCACCAGTGTTGGGGACGAGTATTTCCTTATATTCCTTCGATTCGTTTGTGTTTCCTGTTTTCACTTACGTGCGTTTGTCCTACTTTCTCTCAGTTTAATGAGGCTGCCGTTGTCCATGTTGAAGGGGTGTTGCCTTATGCCGGGGTGTGCCAGAGGGATTTTTTTTTTTTTATTATTATTATTTTCTACCACAGACGTGGCCACACATTTACAATGCTAACCAAAACATATACATTTTCTTCTGTCCTCCATGGACAGGGTTAGAGAAGTGTTAAACATATAGTTCAAGGGTTTATTAAACACTCAACCACAGAAGGTGATTCGGTGCTATTAAAATGCTTTTTTGGGGGGGATTTCTGGGTGAGTTTGGGGAGTGTGTGTTTGGGGTGCTGGGCGAGGAATTAGGGTGAGTGTGGAGGTTGAAAAGGGTTAGGGTGAGTTTACTCATCTAATCGTGCTTGCGGGGGTTGAGCTCCGGCTCTTTGTTCCCGCCTCTAAACCGTCAATTGACTGGTGTACAGGTTCCTGAGCCTATTGGGCTCTATCATACATAGTTACATACGATTGTAACTGAGTATGGAGTCTGCCACCACTACATCACATTCTAATGCATTCCATTTGTTAACTACTGTGACGCTAAATTTGAAAATCTTTCTAATGTCTCTGTGGGTCATTTGGGTACTAAGGTTCCACCTGTGTCCCCCTAGTGCGAGTATCACCCGTGCTAAATATTATATGTTTATCTACCCTATAAATTCTCATGCGAATTTTGTATGTGGTGATCATGTCTCCCCGAACTGTTCAATCTTCCAACGACGTGAAGTCTTTCCCCGGAACTCATACCTCGAACTGCGGGGACCAGGCAGATAGCTTCTCACAATGTCTCTTGCTTCTGGACAATGTAGAGAATTATATAAAACATCTCTTCTCTTATCTCGTGCTGTCTTAATTGGACCTGTCAGTACATTATAATATTCAAATTAAAGAGGGAGATTCCGGCTTCCTGTCTGTAGTTCATTAGGCCAATGGCCAGTTGACTTAATTTCGTGGCCAACTAGATGACCGAACTTATAACACAAGACGCTCAGTCTGGCCTAGCTTTACTCTGGCTGTACCAAGTATAGTATATACATAATGAAAAATAATGAATCATAAATCAACGAATTTATGTTATTTTAGAGATAGTGTTTCTGCATGAGCTTATGGAGGATAACATCTCTAAGGTTTAGTACGAATTTAGACACATTAATATTAAGTTAAATAGTCCGAATTTAGACACATTAATATTAATTTATAATATTCAGTAAAGGTACTGAACTACCTTTAATTAAGAGAGAGACAGAGAGAGAGGAGAGAGAGAGAGAGAGAGAGAGAGAGAGAGGAGAGAGAGAGAGAGAGAGATAGAGAGAGAGAGAGAGAGAGAGAGAGAGAGAGAGGAGAGAGAGAGAACAGACAGACAGAGAGAGAGAGAGAGACAGACAGACAGAGAGAGAGAGAGAGAAAGAAAGAGAGAGCCAGGTGTCCACATGTGATCAAACACCAACATCAAAGGTTCAGGGCAGGTGTGTGTGTGGACCACAGCTGAGAGCCCCCCCCCCCAACTCTGGCGCCAAACTTCGCTCCACTAACTATTGCCACAAAGTTTAGCGAACCACCAGCAGTGTGTCCAAGGAGAAATGATTTGAAAGAATAAAAAAAAACAGTTTTCAATTATAGAAGAACTGCATTTTTTTTTAGTTAATTTTGAGGTCGAAATCCTTCTGAGATTTGTTGATTCCGTGTGACCTCTTCTGTCTATTTTACTTCTATTTCTATTGTCTATTTTGTCTATTTTACTTCTATTTCTATTTCTATTCTGTCTATTTCTCTTTTTTTGTATTTTACTGCATTTCATTCATTACAATTTATACATATATTTACACATTAGCACATCGACTACACTCATTTGGGCTCATC